GAAGCTCAAGCATACAATCAATGTGAAGTGCTAAAGTTGTGATTTAAACCTGGGTCAATGTGGCTCCAATGCTTTTCATCTTCCCAATTGCTTCAAACTACCTGTGAGATGGACATGTGCTTTTATGTAGTTTTCACAGAACCATATTCTATAAATTATACAATGAGCTGGTAAGACAAGAAGGGTTAATATATACATAAGTTACATGATACACATAGAGACATAAAAATAAATATAAAGGAAATCTGAAAGATTAGAAAAACAGCATGGGTAATGTGGCGTACCTGGTCACAGTCATCATATGGTTTTCATAAAATTCTGGTTTATATGGTCTTTATGTCTTACCCTATCACAAGAACTACTTTAAGATTAGTATGAGGTCTTTATTTAAAAAAATAATGCATCTTCTGAAAATAAAGCTTATTTTTCAAAAAGTAAATTTAGTGCATGTTGTTTGTAAAAATCCTGGAAAAGGTAGAAACTATTCACCAAAACATTAATAGCTCTGTTTAAAAGCTAACAAAATTTTCTCTTTTATGTAATATGCATGTATGAATATACTTTTAACAGAACTAAGTTATAAATAAGTGCCCTCTGTTTCTTTTAACATTGAGTTTAGTTTTATGCTTATTAACTATTCTTCAGAAATGTTTTAATTATTGCACAATGTTTTATAGTATAAGTGTGTCGTAATTTAACAATTATCTTACTGTTCAGTTAATTATCTTGCCATAGGGGTAACCTTTGTATTTATATACAAAAGTAGATATTTTATTAGACTACCTCATATTTTAACATTTAACAATCTATAGACATACAATATGCATCATATTTTCCATGTAGATCTCTCCTTAGACTACTTCATATTGTAATTAACATTTTAAAATTTGTAGACATACATCTTTGTATCTTATTTCTCATTTTCAATGTTCACCTACAATTTTTTTGTGGAATAATTTGATTTTTTTAATCTTTTATTTGTTTGGTACAGTGTCTCACTACGCAGCTCAGATTCCTAGTGGTCCCCGTCTCAGCCTCCCCTGTTCTGGGATTACAGGCGTGCACTACCACGTCCAGTTTCAGTGGCCAGCTCAGCATGGGGCCTGCATGGAATATGGTACCAAGGGTTGAACCCAGGTCCTTGTGCTTGCCAGGCAGGCTCTTAGATCACCAAGTTATCTCCCTGGCCCCAATAGTTTGATATTTTAAGCATTTATGTTTTGTTTAATACTGCCACTTAGATGTACACATATTCATAATATATTTCACTAAATATACTTTTTGACTGAAGAAACACAGTGTTATAAATAAGAATCCACACTGAAATTATTTGTTCTTTCGTGTTATGAGAAACCAAAGATAAATGATGTGTAATCATTGGTATATACTGTTCTTATTAAGGTAACAGACATGATTGTTTTTGTTGATGCGTTTGCTTTTATTTTAATTTTATGTATTTGGTACAGGGTCTCACTACGAAGCTTGGACTGGGAGTGATCCTCCTATTTCAGCTTCCCCAGCAGTGGCATTACAGGCGTGCACCACCACACCTGGTCTTGGTGGTGGGCTGGGTGCACTCAGGGTGGCCAGGAAGGCATGTTGTACTAGGGATAGAAGCCAGGTCCTTGCACTTGCCTAGGCAGGCACTTAGACAACCGCGTTATCTTGGTGGCCTCCTATGTTTGCTTTTTGAATGCACTTGGTATTGATCAAGAAGATAAGGGGCCAGGGAGATAGCTCAGTGGCATAAGCACTTGCCTGTTAAGTATGAGGTCCTAAGTTTGATTCCCAGTAACAACAACAAAAAATAAGTTTATTTAAGAATTCTTATGTTTTATTAATTATTTATTTGGTCTCGCTACACAGCTCAGACTGAATATATATGTATATATCATTACATGAATAACTATGAAATAATTATAAATAATGATAAACTATGAAAAAGCTTAAGAGCCACAATGGATCTACAGTTACTATAGTTTCAGGAAAAGTGAATTCTTTTTCTAATTACATCTATTGGTACATTTAGGTATACATAATGATCACATTTACCATAGGGATTTGGACTTGTACATGATATAACTTGATTTTTTTCCCCATTCACCTACTCTGCCTTCAACCTCTGTTGTCCTCTATTTATAAAAGCTTTTGGCATGAGCCTGTAATCCCAGTACTCAGGAGGCTGAGGCAGAAGGATGTGGTGAGTTGGAAGCAGCCTAGGCTACATAAAATTCAAGGCCAACCTGAACTGCATAGCAACACCCTGTCTCAAACGAACAGCTCTGTGTTCATTTTTTCCTTTTTTTTTCTTTCCTCTCAATCCTTTCCCTATCATCCACTCTAGATTCCCTCCCCATTTAAACATTTTCTTTCTGCTTCACAATATGTGTTACACATTTTGGTCCTTATTTACACTCTTGGTTTCTCACACCAGAAAAATGTAGTAATTACATGGTGTCCGATTTACTTCACTTCAGTATGGTCTAAAAGGGCATCCTTTTGGCTAGAAATATCTCAGGCTTATCTCTTATGGCAGAGCAGTCAAACAAGTGTTTAGTATATATAGTATTTAGTATAGGGTCTACAGGGTCTCACTATGTAGATGGGACTCACAGTGATTGTTTTCAGCCAAGTGCTGGAATTACAGCCGTGCACCACCATGCCCAGTCTCAATCGCAGTCTCAGCTTGCCATGGGGTCCGGGCTGGCACCACAGGCCAGGCCGGGGATTGAACCACAGCCACTGCGCTCTGCCTAAACAGGAGTGTTAGTTCACTGAGCTATTTGGCTGGTCCAAACAAGTGTAATCTCTTTCTTTTCTTTTTTTTTTTTTTTTGTATTTTAGGACAGGGTCTACAGGGTCTCACTGTGTAGATTGGACTCCTAGTGATCCTCCTACTCACAGCCTCCCAAGTGCTGGGATTACAGGTGCGCGACATCACACCAAGTCTCTATTACTGCCTTAGTGGACCCTGGGGGCGGAGCCTGCACAACAGGCCTAGGGATCCAACTCTAGGCCCCTGCATCTGCCTAAGAAGGCGCTGTAATCCACTGAGCTAATTGGTCGGCCCTTTAACAAGTGTAGTCTTAAGCAATTCACTATTTACATTTTTCTGAAAGTTCACCACAAACTTGCAAAGATGGGATTAGGAGAGTATGCCAAAATTGGAGGCTAAACATATGATGTCATAATAATAATTTTCTCTAATATATCAAGGAAAATAGAATAGGCCTTTTTTAAAATAAGTGAAATATGTGAACTAAGGATATATTTTGAAAAATATTTAGATTTTCATTTTGTATCATTTTGTGGTGGGTGTTTGTAGATCGCTTTGTTTCAGAAAAACTATATAACACTGTTATTTTTTTATTTTTGATTTTTGATACTGGGGATCGAACTCAGGATCCTGCACCTGCCAAGCAGGCACTAACTGCTCTGTTCTTTTTATCCCGTTAGGCAGCTATTAGATTACATTGAATAATTTTTTTATATATTTAAAATTTACTAAAATAACATTTTGTTATTAGTGATAAATACATGGTTAATAAGAATAAAGGCAACCTATTTGTTTTTTTTTTTTTATTTTATACATGATTCAAGTTGCTCAATCACAGGAAACACTTAAGAATATATGAATTAATAAATTTTTAAAGCATATGCTTAGTTATATAAAAGTTAAACAGTAAATATTTTGGTCTAATGAGTTCCTAACAAGAGATAAATAGGCTCTGCAGATTTACTAAATTATCCAACTACTTTTACAAGACATATGGAAAGTTAAATTTGTGTTTCTTCAAATAAATGTACTGTGTGTGTGTGAGAGAGAGAGACAGAGAGGGGGGGAGAGAGAGGGGTCAGGAACTCTCAAGTTGCTCTAAACCTATATTTGAGTTATTTATTTTTTAACATATTATTAATTTTCCTTCAAATATATTACTTTCATATTTCAATGTGAAACACAGAAACTTTCTACTAGTTTAACATTAACATCTGGCATTCAGTTGAAATATTTATTTATTATTACCTTGGATACGTTTTTATAATAATGTTTATTTCTATTTATTACATGAATATTTTTGAAAATAGGCTATAATAATTCATCAAACCTCTGCAATAAAATTCCCAAATTCTTTCATATACATAAACCAGTTTAAGTCACTTGGAAAGCAGACTTATAGTCTCAGACTAATAGTATCAGTATTTCTTAAAATTATTCTAAAATATGTATAAATTTTAAGTAACCTCTCAAATGCCTCTGAATGCTAATGTCTATTATTTTATGAAATTCATCTTCCTTGACACACAAAAACAGTGGGAAGGAGAGAGCCACAGGGGCTTACACGATGAAGATCACAGACTAGAATTCCTTGATCAGATCTGTGACAAATCAGATATGGTGAAAAATTTTCTCCTTACAAAAGCCTGTGAGAAAAGACAAGACTCTAGAATATATGTAAGACAGTGACTTATAGCATTTAACTGTGGCAACCTTTAATTTTAATCTCAGAGAAAACATCTCTATCATTATCAGATGTCAACTTATTAATTGCACAAAACAGATTTTTGAGTCAAATGCAGGTTCCCATTGGCAATGAATATATGACTCTCTTCATACAAAGGAGAAGTATTTCCTCTCAACAAGCTAAAACAATAAGTGGTATTTGAACTGCTGGTTGAAAGGTAGAGGCACTGGTAATCATTATTTCCCCTTGTTTGTTCAGCCCTTCCAACAAAACAAACAACCTTTTTGTGATTGGATTGACATGGTGTTAACAATGCATTTAATGCCCAAATCAGTATGAATACAGGTAAAGCTCTTGCTAATACCAGTACCAGGATGTTAAAGCCACCTATTTTCTAACCAGCCAAAAAAAAAAAACGACAGAGCTTGCCCTCCTTTGGCAAATAAGGCAATGCGCTAGTATGCACCAAGACACTTCACATCATATAAAAACCTCCCTATGATTCTCCAGCCCTTATGTTAACACTCAGTACTATACCTGCTGCCTTTTCAGCAATTTTAGCTTCCACTGATTTTTCTTGGAGTTCCAGTTTAAGCTTTAATTTTCTCTGTTCTTTATTTTCTCTAATCAATTTTTCTTGAAGCTAAAACACATTGAAAAACATGTTAATTTTATCTCACAAACATCTTCCACAAATATAATTCCAAAGCAAAATTTTGTTTTTTCCTAAACACTAGTGTAACCATTGTAAAAATTACATTGAGTTGCCTAAATATATTAAATTCAAGTGAAAAAATTAAAGTTGCAAAATATTTTATAAAGCAATTTATATTTTTAAGGATATGGAAATTATAAAAACAAACTTAAAAGGATACTAGTAAAAATCACTACAAAACAATCTCATCTATTCTTTTGTTTTAAAACAAAACATTAGAAGGCATTCTCCTAATAAAGTAACTGAAAGCATATTTTACAGCTCTTAGTAATTCTAATATTTTGAAACAAAATGAATAAAGATATTCATCTTAATATCTGATACAAATCTTCTTTGGTCAATGTTATCGCATGGTATTCCATTTAAATTGGCACTGGCATCTGACTCATAATTGGCATGTAATAACTGCTAACTGAAAGTACAGAAAATGTCTCATGCCCTCATACAGAATGCTTCCAATTTTTAAAAAATTCTTTCCTAGGCTTTTATCATTTGTTTTGTTTTTCTACAGACATGATCAACATTCCTAACATCATGCTTCTGTTTAATAAAATTGCATCAAACAATAAGAATAATAAAATCCAGAAAAATAGAATATTGAAATAAGAAAAGTACATGGAGGATTTTTTTAAAAAGGAGGCATACAAAGTGGACGTTATTTAATAAAACTACATAAGGCTCAGAGGAATGTAACTAGAGTAACAATTGGAAAAAAATAATATGGCAAATGAGATTGCACAAAATGCAACAGTACATAACTCAAACTAAATGACAATATCAGCAAGCCTTGCTACTTAAACATTTAATTTCATTCACTATATTACTGTGGTGAAATACAGGACACAGATAGTAACAAAAAAAGTTAAGAAAGAAAAATAAAACCAATGCCTAATATTTTTTATCTTTCATAATGCTTAGGTTTTACAACAGCAACACTTGATTGAGCCTTTTCTGGGGGTAGGTACCCATGGCCCCACAGCTTTATAAATAAGAATAAATAATATTAATTAATTAATTAGAATAAATGATATTACAGATCAGCAGGAGAGGAAAACAAAACAATTTATTTTCACAGCCAACGGATTATACTCTGATGGCAAGGAATGGCAACTGCATAGAGTATACAATAAAAGCTGACTAATGTAGGCCAACAAAGAAAATTTAGGTCAAATGATGAAAGAACATTGCACAATGATCATGCTTCCCACATTATACCTCTTTATTGTTTGTTTTGAGTATATCCAATTCTTTTAGAAGAAATGCTACTGTCTCTTTATTTACATCTGAAGCAACTTGATAAGGAATCATATATTCATAATGTAGATCATTCTTTCTATAGTCCACAATGCTGTAAGAAAGAAAACTAGTAAATATATATTATTTTACAATATACATATTATACTTCAAATGGAAACATTAAATTACTTATGTAAAAGTACCTAATTTTAAATTTCTTTTTATTCCACATCAAGAAAATACTATGATTGATATATAGATAGATAGATAGATAGATAGATAAGTAAATTTCACAAAGAAAAGCCAATGCATGAACCATGACAATTAAGTTTATGGGAGGCATTTAGTAAGTGACCCTTGTAGTTCAGTAAACACTACTCAGAAAAAGCTTTTATAAGCTCTAATAATTACTTCAATTTGTATTTCTGGTTAGGATTCTCATTATAGTTCTCAAAATGAAAACAATAATTGAATAATTTGTAAAATTAGATGAAAAGTATCATATTTACATTATTCAAAACACAAAAAAATGTATTCCTCAGATATTTAAGGACAACTATAATGGTTTTTTAAAACATTTGGTATACTACTTGAGAAAAGAATTAATTCGTAAACAAGTAATATAAAGGAAAAGAGATGGTATATGAAGGCACTGTATTAAATTTATTAGCATAGGTTAATCTTGGAGTCTCAAAAGAGAAATTTCTCAGTGAGACCTCCTGGGGTGGCCACAGCAGCACTACTTACCATTTATCCCTTGAGGCAAACATACTAGAGAAGTCACCACCTGGCATTGGACCAAGCTTACTATTTGTTTTCCCCCTGTGGTCATAAAAACATTTAACCCTTCTTCACTCATTCTGTTTCTACTACCTAAGACATAGCCCATAATTCACCTAGGGAGAAGAACTTACCAATATAGTGTCTACTTTACATGTGATAATATTCATAAATATTCCCAATAATTTTCAAGAAAATAAAAATAGAAATTTATATGAAAGACTCTGCTAAAATAGTATCCTACAAAATATGATTCTGTCCAGACTAAAAAGATAATTAAGTGTTTAAACTGGAACTATAGCTTCACAGCACATGACTAATAATCAAAATACCTTAATCTCATAGATAAAAGTCACAAGTATTTCAAAATTCAAATTCCTTCATGAGAAAGACATGATGTGTGGGTAAAAATGAAATAATTAAGTGAAATAATAGGCAAATAGTGGAGTACAAGGTCCTCTGTAAAGATTTCAGATTCATTTAGATGCACAATGGGGGTTAACCAAACCCAAAACATACCTTTGGGCTTAATTTATCCTAGAAATGTTGCCAGTGTTTGGCTTTGATGAATACTAACCTATTCAAGTCAATCTAACAGTTATTTCCATATTTGTAATGTAAGGTCACAGAAAACAATATCGAACAACGAAGAAACCTTACTGCCTTCCTTCAAACTGACCCTGTGCTTTTCCAGCTAACTATCTGGACACATGTATATCATGGAAATAAGAGAAAATACTAGCAGATTACCTATGTTCACATAAATTAATGGCATGCCAAATTTAGCTCACAACTAAAGGAAGAGAAAGAAGGAAGGGAAAATGTTCTTTCAGTTTTTCCTTTCTATCTCAAAGGCTGACAGCAGTACTCACTTGCACTTCTTAGAAGTCTCAGCATCTGGATCCGGAATGACCACCTGAAAGCTCCTTGGTCTCTGCTCCAGCAGGTCAGTGTTCTCATTTGTGACTTCACTAACTAAGTCACTGGCTTTCTGAATCAAGCTTCTCTCGGAATTCATAGCCAGCTGTTCGTCTAGCTGTGTACTTTTATTTCTCCCCGTAGTGTCTTGTTCAATATTAATGTGAGCTGTACCTATATTTAAACAAACAAAACACATGATATATATTAAAAATTATTCAATAAAATGAATACTATGCAGAAAGAATTACTCTTGTAGCTGGAAACACACTATACTTCTAGTCTTGCTTTTAATGTAATGAAGTAATTTTCCATTTTTATGGTCAAGAAACATTTAGGATAGTGGTCCACACATTGGCTATACACTGTAATAAAGCAAGGAGTTTTTCAAAACCCAAAGCCCACATCAAACCACACAATATCTAAGTTAAAGTTCTGGGAGTGGTGTCTGTTTCATGTCTTTGAAGTTCTCTAGATGATCCTAGCATATACTCACAGGTTTATTGGTATTTATGTCAAGATTTCTCAAAATAGGAAACAATGAGTTATTATAGCACAGAGGTAATATACATGGAACCCTGAGATCAGACCACCTGGGTTAGAATTCCAGCTCTGTCAGGTGCACAATCTTGGGCAAATGATTTGGTCCTTTCATGTAGCAGTTTCCTATTTGTACAATGTATACATAACAGTACTTACCTAGGTGGTTAGGAGAACTGCATTGATACATATAAAGGACTTGGCCTTGTGGCTGACACATCTATAAATATTAGCTATTACTTTGTAGACATCTCCATAATATTAAAATGGGTATAATATAAAATGAATTATTCACAATTCACTTTTATCATCTTATCAGCTATGTTGTACATATGATGATCTCTACTTTATAATGCCTGGCTACCTCACAAAAATTACTTTAAGCTGTACTAGTAACAGCTATCTCAGTCTATAGCTAATGGTATACTAAACTTATTTGGGAGGAATCACATAATATACATGTAAAACCAACAGTCACTAGCAAATTTTAGATCAACAGGCATAAATACTAATTGTAGCTAGTGTTTTGTTAATTCATATATATATATATATATATATATATATATATATATATATATACTTTCCTAACTTTAAAAGCATATGAATATCACCTACTTCTTTTTTTTTTTTTCCAGGACTGGGCCTTGCTATGCAGGGTAGGCTGGCCTTGAACTCAGTAAAGTGGCCTTGAACTCATGGTGATCATCCTGCCTCAGCCTCTGAAACGCTGGGATTATAGGTGTGTGCCACCACCTGGCCCACCTGCATTTTAGTGATACTTTCTTGAACCTCGGAAATTTAAAAGTTTTTCATGCAGGAGAGTTATTCTAGAATACAAGCATACAAGTGCATTTATAAATACATGATCTTACAAAAATATTCTGAATAAATTATTTGTGTTTGTTTTAGGCAGTCAAAAGGTTCAAGTGCAGAAATGATTCTTATTGATAACTAGAAGTTAGCTCATAAATCTTTTGGGAAAATCACTCTTTATTTCCCTTTCAGAAAATGAAACAGAAGAGAAAATGTACAATCACAACTACATACCATGCGTTAACCATGATACTTCAACAGCATATGCTGTTTAATCCTTATAGGAACAGAAATTATATATCTAAAGCTAGTTTTTGACACTTCAAATTTATTACTTGTTTTTCTTTAGATCTTCAGTCACCATCCTACTTTTCTAGGACTGGCCTTAAAATCTGAATGAAGGAGTCTTATAAATGAACATTAAGAAAATTCTTCATAGTATTACTTCATAACAAAAATCCTTTCCAACATCATCATTCATCTTTGTAAGTAACTCAAATTAAAAATATGTTAGTTACTTAAAAGTCAAAATAACAAACATTCTCCCCAGTAACATAAAAAATTTTTGTGGCCTATACTATTCTCCATCATGAGTTACAAGGATCTTCAGAAAGGAAACAGGATGATCCAGGAACACTGCCAACCATGAGAGTCACCAGCTCCACACCGACTACTTCAGTCCTGAATCTCTAACTCATCTGAAATCATACTTAATATTACCTGCAATTCATTCCGTGCTCTTATGTCTGCATTACTAGGTCTAGATCAGTATTTTTCTCCTTTCATTGTTTTACTCCTAAACTTCTGGTATTTATCCCATCCCTGATTTCTGTACTTGCTATGTGCTTACTAATTTTATAGCTCTCCTTCTTCATGTTTAACCTATCCTAATGTCATATTTTGTAAGCCTCTGAACTCTTGGTAAATCATGGTAACCTCACCTGTAACAGGACTATCTTCTCCAAATTCTTAGGGCAGATGTGTACCTTTTCCAGTAAGAGGACTCTTTGTTGATCCCTCATGAATCTTAATAATTATAGCCCCTTTAAGTGGTATTAAAATAAACTTAGAAATTCTGACAGTTTTCCAAATTTTAAGTCTAAAACATTTCAAATGTTAATATTTTAAATAATCAACATTGGGTGACTTGGCTCCATTTATGGGTATTTCAAATTTTTCTTAGTAGTAAAAGATTCTGAGTCCAAATCTGACGGGATCCTCACACATATGAATCTTTTTCTGGAAATCAGACCATTTGTACCCTTCTAATGAGAATTTAGAGTAAACGATATTGAGTTATGAAAATATCTCACCTTTCTGTCTTTTATTCTGTTTTAAGCAACTATTTTGGCAAGGAGGATTCCAGCAAATTACTTTTCAATTCTTAAAAGGCTTTCTGTGCTCTTCCTCTCCATACTGCATTAGCATACATCAGTGCTCAATCACTTGTACAGCAAGTCTGATCTTTCTAATTAATATTTCTATTTAATGATTTTCTGATCATACAGGGAGCCTGTATGACATTACATTCCCGGTGGCAGAAGAAAGACAAATATAAATAAATAACAGACAATTCCAGTAAAGATTATAGAATACATACAGGATGGCCTACTGACGTAATGATTTGAACCCAATGTAGTAATAGAGCTACAAAGCATGTAAAATGTCAAACATACTCAGACTCAACTGAAAACTCTAGGAAGACGTTGCAAAGGAATTTGCTTTAAAAAGGACAAGTAATAATATGTAAAAAAATGAATTGCAAAAGGGCTAGTCTTCTAAAGAAAAGTTGGACAAACTAATATGAGAACAGGAATAAGAATCAGTACAGAGAAGAAAAGATTCAGAAAATACAAGATATTTCTCTTACTGTAATGACAAAATAGAGAATGAAAATTCCTAAAGCAAGTAACAGGTCAGGACAAAGTCTACGGCATAGTTCACTGGGAAATGGATTAATGAAACAGAGGAAGAAGGTATTTGGAGAGGAAGAAATTGAGGGACCACTTCTGAAACACCAAATGATCCATAAAAAATGGCAAGAAAGTGACAAAAAAAATGGATGCCCAATGCACAAATTCTCAGTAACAAAAGTTACACTACAGAAAGACAGAACTGATGGAAAAGCTGACAAAACCTGATGGCAGAATAATAGTCTTCTCTTTACCTTTTAATTTCTGAAACTGTCTTTCTCAAAGTTGTGAAACAAGTACTAAAAATTCCTGTATACCTTTAACCCAGTTTCCCTTAAACACTAACACTTTAGCACACTTCTTTCATTATTTGTTTCTATTTATATATACACATTTATTTCTTAAATACTCAAGAGTAAGCTATAGGCACAATGTACTTTGACTTTTGAGGACAAATTTTAAGATCTTGTATTTTGACAATTTTTCTTTCCCTTATTCAAAGCCCAACTAAATTTCTGGATTAGTTCCTTCTCCAACTAAGAAAAGAGAGTACCACTTATTAACTCTAAATTCGGTCTCTAATAATTGTCCTTAACCTCTCTAGCCCAAGATAAAGATCTGTATGAAGTGATAATAGGATGAAGTTAACAAAAGCTTTAGGTGAGCTACTTGGTACTGCCCACCAATTTTGAAAGACATTCATTTCAAAACATAAACAGAAAAGCTAACATAATGCCAAAAAAGCAAAGTTATAAAACTACTTTGCATACTAGTTGATTATAAGATAAATATTAAACAAATAAACCATTCACTTCTGATTCAAACTCATCTCTATGCAGATGAATACTTAAAGCTAAAATTTTATTCACATCTCTCCTTCTCTATCGCTGTCTAAAATAAAAACTCTAGTAATCCACATCAGCGTTTAATCAATGTCATTGTTAACTGTTCTATCATTATGACTGAATTAATATTTAAATTCATTTCTCCACATGGAATTAGAGAATAAATTAATCTCTTTATAAGTAATAAACATATGAAGTCTGATGTTCTTTTCTCAGACTTAAAAGGAAGTATTTTACGACTATTCTCTATCTCTTTATTTGCTATTCTGGAATACACTTTTATATGGGCATAGGAATTTGTCAATGTCAAAGAAATATATTTCCCAATTTTTGCTGTTACTGTCTAACGCTATCATTACCAGATAAAGGTACCTCACATTATCAATAAATAATACTACAGAGAACCACAATGCCTCTAAAATGCCACCTAGAGCTATTTCTAGAAACAGTTTATGTATCTGGGCAAGTCAAGTGGATTTGGTGAAGATTTTTGAAATCTTAATACTGATAGTGTGTGTTGGTTAGCTGCATTATATGCTTTGAATACTTTGTATCAATCTTGCTAGTAACTTTCACAATTTTCTTGAAACAGCCTGGCTCTTTTGCTTTATTTCTGGAACTGTCAGTATTACCAACAATCTCAAGCTATTCTTCAATCTTCAATTCATTTGGTCTAGAAAATTAATAGTACTATGATAGCATTTTGTATCCTAGAAAAGGCTTTGTAATTCCTTTTAAGTTCATTTCTCCAGATAATTACACATCAATGTAAAATATAATCAGTTAAATTGATGCTACCTCAGAAATAATGCTGCCTAACCAAAATTACTATTATTTCATAAGTATTCTACAGAAGTGAGGAGGTGGCTAGAATCAAACAGAGATTCTTAGACGCTGGGAAATTCTGTTCTGTCTGGCTTTGTAAATAGTTTGTGACAACTGGTATCTGTGTAAACGGATTTGATGTTCCCCTGGGGGGGGGGTGTCAATACTGTTTACAGAGCTGTTTCTTCAGAGTGGTTGAGCTAGAATTGTCTCTAGGGATCCTCTGGAGTTACTCAGA